TTTTATGAGGTCACCTTTACCCTGATATCAAAGCCAGGAAGGATCCTGAAGGAAAAGAAAATTATATTCTAGTATCTCTTCTGTGGACATATCTAGATGTCTCCCAAAGCCTCGTGTGTTCATCAGTGGGGCTTTTCAGAGCAGACCGGATCTAGGGCATGGGATACAGGGAATAAGACTGTGTGGTACTGAATTAGCTCACTGGTTGGAGCTAGCACAGTCCTGGGTGGCCTCACCCAAAAGAATGGTAGCCTTGATGGCATAAAACGGAGAAGCATGCTGGTGGCTGCTGCTGCTGTTCATGACTCACTGCCTTCTGCATCCCCTGTCATGGACTACCTGCTTTCTGTGATCCCCTCTGCTATTCTGAGCCGGCCAACAATTGGCTGAAAGCTCTACAAACTGTTTACCAAAATAAACCTTTCCTCCTTTAGCTTTGGGTATTGGGTATTCTGCCTCAGCAATGAGAAAAATAATTAAGAAAATCTCTGATGAAAACAAAAAAAATATTAAATATAATACTAGCAAACCAAATTCAACCATATATTAAAGGTATCATTCCTCATAATAAAATATGATTTATCCTAGGGATACAAGGATAGCTCAATACACACAAATCAGTAAATGAGATGCATCATATTAACAAAATGAAGGTCAAAGATCATATGATAGTTTCAACAGATGCAGAAGAACATTTGACAATATTCAACATCCTTTTAGGATAAAAAGTTTTTTTAAAAAAATGGGCACAGAGTGGCTTCGTCCGCTGCCGCCTTTCTCCGACTGGTGGGACTCAGTTCGTGCTCTCGTCGCCTCATGTCCGCCGTCTTTTAGAGACCAAATGCCATGCCTTCAATTAAGTTGCAGAGTTCTGATGGAGAGATACTTGAAGTTGATGTTGAAATCGCTAAACAGTCTGTGACAGTCAAGATCATGTTGGAAGATTTGGGAATGGATGATGAAGGAGATGATGACCCAGTTCCTCTACCAAATGTTAATGCAGCAATATTAAAAAAGGTCATTCAGTGGTGTACCCACCACAA